CAGGACAGGAGCAGCGGATGCGTGCGAAAGGTCTCTGCTCTCCCACATCCCGGAAATGTGGGAGATCACTTCTGTCAGGTGTGATTTTCCTCGCAGCAGTGGAGATATATCTCCAGAAAGGGCTCTTTACAAGTGCTCCTCCACAGAGAGCTGAGGCCACCAAGTGACGGGGTGAAGGCAGCCTTCTCGGGAGAGGTGGGTGTAATTTTACGGTAATCCCTGCCGTAAGCAAAACGAGCCATCATGCAGAGTATCAGCAAAGTAATTCCAGCAATGGAGGCAGCCTTGGCGTTGGGGGGTGAGTTCCATGACTGGGATGAGTCCACAGGACATTATGCTGGGGAAAGACTTCAGTTCCCTTCCTCTCCCAAGGAGTCCTCCAGCCTCCAGCTGACTTGCACAGCCCACAGCTTCTCTGAGGAGAGGGACAGAAATCACGGGGTTATGCTGGAAATGCCTTCGAATTGCAGAGCCACGCAGGGTCACGTCACAGCCACCGACTGGGAGAGCAGTGCGGATAAACCTGGGCTTACTAGTGTCCACGCACAAAATAGAAACTCATATATAGTTGAAGTGCTCTGCAGGTGTTACTCCCTAGCATGCTGGTGAGGATGCCGAGCGCAGCAGGCTTTGGGGTGGTGCCTGTCTGCACCCAACCACAAAACTCTCCCTGACAGGCAGTGGAAAGCGCCTACATCCACCCCCAATTGCCGGAGGCATGTCAGGGCCAGACTGACTCTCCCCAGCTAGGACCAGAACACTGCAATCCACACTTAACTCTGAAAAAGATGATGCTGGATTCTTGAATGGCTTCCTCTATTTCCACTGGATTTCAGAAAGTTTAAGGGAAAAACTAAAACCCTCAAGCACTGCTGAGCACCCCTTGCTGCACCCTGGACTATCAACTTCAGCACAGACTCACCTATGGAATTGCTGGCATGTGCCTTGACAGATCACTTGCCAAAACAGGAGCTATTCCAACCATGCTGAGCATGGGAAATCTAGCTGGAATTCCGCATAAGGCGATGCATGCCACTTACAATAAGACAAAGTTTATCTCTGGGGATAAAGTTGCTAACTGGCAAGCAGGACAGAAAGGAGGCACGCTTAGGGCTGCCAGAACCACCCAGGATGCACCCACAACACTCCCCCAGCCGCTTTTATGCCATCCTCGGGACACAGACCTGTGAAGGCCGTACAGCCAGATGTGACATGTGAGTCCGTGCCGCTCTGCCATGCCCAGGAAACCCACTTTGAGACACTGGTTACCACAGAAGCACATGGAGGAAGTCACAAAGCCCACGTTCAAGCCCACCAAACCCAGCCCGAAGCGCTGCTGCCTGGCTATGCAGCTCTCTAATGTCCTGGCAATCACTGATCTGGTGTATCTCATTTCAGTGCTTTTTTCCCCACTCCAGAAAGAGGAAAGCTGGTTGGATAAAGAGTTTGCTCTAGGGGACCATGCCTTTTGAATGGTTAAAAGGAAAAAAGTACTTTTTTTCTGAAGTGAGAAAAAGAACAATATAAAAAAGCCCAGTCCAACACCTTTATAAGGAAAGGATATTGTGCTTTTTGACAGTAAGCTGTGCCTTTCTGGGAAGTGGATACCAAGGATTAAGTATATTTCTGATCAAGCTATTTTGAGGTGACAAGCCATGGTGCTCTCCTCAGGGGAGTTTATATTATTGGTACCTTTACAGCCTTTCACTCTCTGTGAGCTTGAAAGTAACTGAGTTTGTGAATTCACTTTTAGGCAGCAAACACTCCAGCAAAAGCTTATAAATATTTTTTAGACAACAAAAGAGGCTGTGCAATAAGCAAGCAAACTGCAAATGCTTTTGAAAGTCAACCTAATGATGGATATAGAGGCTTAAAGCAGCTCTTTTACTGTACTCGTTTGAATCTTTAATCACACTCTTCTCTTCATCCCCAGCAAGGAGATGTGATACTGAGCTAGAGAGCTGTGTATATCACGTTTTGCTGGGTTTGGTGTCTTTGAACAATCACATATTTAGCATATTTCAGAAAGACAAAGAGGTTGAAGTGCTGCTGAGCTTTGTCAAATTAAACATGGAATTCTACAGGAAGTTTTTAAATTAGGCTTGGGGCCGACAGAAGCAACCCCTAAATATCACGGCAGCGCTTGGCTGGGCGATGAGACATTGCTCTGGGTGTGCCTCTGGGCTTCATTTTTTTTAATGACTGACACTCCTATTGTAGAGTGAATGCAAGGGAGTTGCTCGGAAGGGAACATTTCTGAATATGTTTCAGTGTACACAGATTTGAGTCACGAAGTCTGTTAACATACAGTTCCTGGTACTGGCCCCTTCCATTTTATCTCGAGATAAGAGTCTTTGCTCCACCCGTGGCAAAGTGACTGCTGCTGTTGCTGCTCTCTGGGCTGTTCTCTGCTCTTAGCCAAGGGCCGGCAACGTAAGCAAGAGCTTCTTCATTGTCCCGCTGTAACTTAACCTTCACCATCATCAAACCAGACCAGATCTTGCTTTCTGTCTTCAGTTCTTTTCCTAAGGTGACATTTGAACAGACAGTGCTGCTCTCCAGTAGCAATGAGCTAGAAGGGAAACCAGCAGCCGACAGGTACCATCGATTACCTTCACAGGAGAATAACTCTAGATGGCTTGGAAGATTAGCATTAGGGTATGTGCTTCTGGTTTGATGGTGTGAAATGAGCCCCAGGCTGCTAATAGTCAAAAGTAACTGCTACTGGTGTTCAGTATCCTCTGTAAAACAGGATTGATGGTTGTAATCTTTTGGTACGAGATACACCCGCTCCGCAATTGGTAACCTCAGCCCTGTGTCCCAAGCTTAAACGCTGCATATTAGTGCAGAGTTGTGTTATTGGCTCCTGTTCTCTGGTCAAACCGAGCATTTCGCCCTCCGGGAATGTAGTTCTCTCATCTTTCAGAGGCTTAATTCACAAGAAGTGAATATAACAGGGAGAAAATATATATTAGCTGAGGGTGCCTTAAGTGCCAGAGAAAGGACTCTGGTGTTGATAAATGAGAGGGAATTAGAGGACACACTGATATTGTGGTAAAGACACAAGATCACGCAGGTGCGTGCTGACTGCCAGCGTGGGGTGGGAATGTTTTTTGCATCTTCTTGAAAACTGCTGTCTTTTGCAAAGGATCAGTGCTCTGTGAGCTACCAGTCACTCCTGGGTATTACAGAGCTGCCACAGGCGATCACTGAAATGGGTCTGTAGGTTGTGCTCGTGTGCTGATCGTTTGTGCTCATCCATAGCTAAATGACTGGAAAACAGCAGCAGCTTCCATTTTAGGCTGACCTGGGGAAAGCCAGTGAGAACTTCCCATGTGCACTTGGGACCTCTCCATGCTTCTTTAGTGGAGGTGAATCTAAACGCTTTTCATGTTTTAGAAGAAACCTGAATTTGAATTTCAGTCTTTCAAAGTACATGTTCCTTTTTGGACTTCGGGTTACGTGTGTATCCTTAGATGAGACTTTTAACTGTTCCAAGTCTTGTCGTCCCTATCGCTAAAAGGCAAGCACTGCCTGGCTGGTGGGAATGCTATGTGAAGTGCTGACAGTCAGAACTAAGGAAAACACATCTTTTAGAAAACTTTTGGAGATGGCTCATATAAGAATACAATCAAACCCCGAAATCTGCCCAGAGATCATTCAGGCATCTGTCATGCACAGAAATACCTGGCAGAATAAAATTCACTTGAGTCCATAAACCTGATCCCAATAGTAACTGATGCAACTCACCACTTTGATGCTGAAGAATCTACCACCACATGACATTAGAGACAAAGGAGAGCCTGGGCATATCTCTCCCTTCCAACCACATATGGCCAGATGCTGAGTCCCACCTGCCAAAAGGGCTTCCCCAGCTGCAGCACGGCCCCTATCATGGAATGGGTGGTCACCTTTGCTCGCCACTACAAAAACAGGATCATCAGGCATGAACTAGACACGTTTTCAATAAGTATGGAAAAAAAGTCACTGACCATTTTAATTGTCCTGGTCCTAGGCACAGGCACCCATCTAAAAGGCAATGCTGCCCTCTGTTACGTGTCCAGCTGCTCACTCACACATGGCTGTGTATGCAGAACCAGCTACTCCCATCACGGCTTGGGGCTTTGAGTTAGCCTCAATCAAATGCCATGGAACAAAGAAAGCCCAGCTGGCTCCTGAAAGAAGCTGAGAACCTTCAGTTCCTAATGAGCTTCAGAGACTTAGACAAGATGTTTTGCATTCACTAAGGAGAAAGTAATCTACTGTAAGTTACTGTAATTAGTTGTTCAAGTCCTAACCTTCATCCATGCCTTTTTCACTATATAAATCAGGTATTAACATTTAAATAAAAATCAATATATTCACCTTGTCATTCTGTATTAGTAGCATCCAGCTTTATAGATTAAAACTAGATGAATCAGATTTTATTATCAGTTTAGAAGACAATGTTTATTTTGTCTTTATTTTGGTGTGTTATCTTATTGATGAGTTCAATATGAAAATTTCAAGGCAATCATAACTCCTATGTAATCACTCTGTATAAAACTGTATGAGAAATATGGTTTAAAATGAAAATGTACTAACAACATATTATCTCCACATGCCCATTTTTAAAAAGAAATGATAGAATTAACAGGAAATAAAGATTATTCCTTATTCATATTAAGCCTGACTCCAACACTGGTAATCAGATTGACTGTTAAATAGCTCCACAAATACTTTTCTTGAACTCAGTGGAAGTACTTACGTAGGCAAATACTACTGGGCCATGGTAAAAGAGAGAACTCGAGCTTCTCTGATTCAAAGGTTTATTATTAACAAAACTTTCACTTGCTCAAACCCACAAAATGGTTTCAACTGAACCGTCACACCACTAGTCGGAGAAAGGCACATGTGATAAAGAAGCAGAATGAAAAAGCTTATTGACGTGTTGAGACACAGCTGATAAGGAAAACAAAAACCCACTTAAAAAAAAAACAGTTGAGTTTTAGTTGAAGTCAGAAGCAGCGTCTGGTCTCTTTTCTCTCCCAGCGTCAAGAAGATGTTTGCAACGATGCTGAAGATATTTCCAGTTCTAGCCATCCTGACAGGTAAGAATAACAAACTGATTGAAATGCACTGGAATAAGGGAACTTGGTGAAATAAGAGAGCAGGTGAACCTGCCTGGCAAACTAGGAGAACATTCAAGATTTATTTCAGGATGGAATGAAAATCATGGCTATAATGCTAAGCTGAGTCCCACCTGCCAAAAGGGCTTCCTTTTGGAAGGAAGGAAATCCTTTCCTCCAAGGATTTTGTGGAAATCAGCAAGCTGACCACTGAGTGGTAAGAGTTTTTTTGCGCAAGAACAGAATTTTAGCTTTGGTATACGAATGCTTTGCTCTAAAGCCAGGAAGAGGCAAAGAGCTCTCACGTAGAGCGTTAAGGTCTTTCAAGTGTTTCAGAGTTAGGTTTTCTCATGTTTGGCTTTTGTCTCTCCTTGATAATAGCCCTGGGACAATAGCTGCCTCAGTCCCACCCCCACTAAAAAATTTTGGGGATGCTTAGCTTTAAGCATGCAAATAATCTTTTGGATTTCCCTGAAGTTAAGTGAAGACGTAATACTTTGTGCAATCTAGGAATTATATGGTATATTAACGATTACATATTATTCATGTTTCAAGGACATTTTGTTGTGCTAAGGTTTATTTTTAATATATACAGAAGCAGACATTTTAAGTTTAATGTTTCACGGAGATGAACGGCCTCTGTATCCACTACAGAAAATGGAAGTTAGTTTCCATATTTTCTTTTCAAGATAGAATTATCTGGTTTGGATGCCAGAGAAATATTTTAAACAGTCGCTCCTGGTGTTTCCAATTCATCTCTCTCATACACATAAACCCCACAGGTTTTTGCCTTAGAAATGAAAAATAATTCAGTATTAATACCAGTACTTTTCAAAACAACGTCCTCTAATTTTAAAGTTCCGGATTTAAGACCAGCAGTATGTCCATACTGATGGGTGCCACTGACTGGAGGCTTCTGTAGTAACTAGGAATTGATCAGGAAACTTGAGTTTACTTCAAGAGTGTTAAAAAATGCACAGGACTTCAGTGAAAAAGGACGATTCCCAATTAACTGCAATGACTTTCTCTGTTGTAAGGAAGTGGTCTTACTGTAATATTGATGAGTAAAAGATATAGATCAACTGTTTTTAACAAGTTATGGTCCTATTCACAGTAGCTTTTTTCACTGAGTTACCTCTTACTCGTGCTTTTTTTTTTTTTCATTTAAACCAAAAGGCCTGTATGAATGAAATGGGATTACGAGTTCAAAACCGTAAACAGTGAACTAAATGCAAAGCCAAACTCCCATTAACTTTCATGATGAGGGAACAGGCTCTGCGGGTCCACTTTGCTCCATTTTCAGTCAAAAGCTCCATCTTACAATTAGTGATGGCTTTAAACAGCCTCACTGGACAACGGAATTTTGGTAGGTTTTGGCTTTATATTTTTACGAGAGCGAAGCCTATTTCAATTAAATGTATTTCTTCAAAATACACAGCGTCATGGAAACTAGAACACTTTATGGAGTCATTTCTGTGAAAAGTAATTTCTTCTGGAAAAGCTTACAACAGCCAGGCTCTGTGGCACTCGTGACTCCAAAAACAGAGAATGATAAAGGAAATATGTGGAGCAGATGACTGGAAAATGGATCTTTTCAGTAGAACGACATTGTGTTGAAAGACCATAGCTTGAATCCTGCAAAAGGCAGAAAATAAATACATGTAAACCTGGAAGTATTATTGTGGCAAAAAACTGTCATCCTCCAGCCAACTCTAATTCTTAAAGCTGAGAACAGTGAACTGAGGTATCTAAAATAATATTACATGGCTTTTCTATTAGATCTCAGTAAGGATTAATCTATTGTGAACTCACAGGACTTGCAGCCAGCACTGGGATCTCCTCTTTCCCCAAGGCAGGTTTGACACATTTAGGTCAGTCTCCAGCCACTCCTGTGAGCCAGTCTTCACATATAATGTAAATCTTGCTCTATTTTAAACTTGCTAGTTCTCATCCTAGCCACCACCAACATGGAAAGTAAATCATTCCCTTTATCCTTGCAGTGAGCTTTTACTATTGAAGCCATCAAACAAGGAAAACAGACCCCGAAGAGTTGAGACTCTAGGTTTGGATAGGTTTGCATATTGTAGCAACTAATGAATCTGCAACATTCACATGGTTAAAAATGTCAAAATGAGTTGTATTTGTTTTTTAAACAATGTTTTCTCTCATACGGCTGATAATTTGAGCAAAATACTCTTTTGGTATTACTGGAGGTTCTGCTTAAACTCTCAAAAGCAGCACCCGAACATAAGATGCACAGATATTTCATCTAGAAGAGTATTTTGTGCCTCTATCATTCAATAAGCCCACGTGAAAATTATTATTATTACAACATAAAGTTCTCACCTTACCTGTTTTGCACCGAAAGCTCCAAAAGACTTATGTTTTCCATCACATTCAAAACAAATATATTCTCCTTCAGAATCTTTACACGGGAGCTTTAAAACTGGACTCAGTGATCTAGCAAAACCCTGAAATTCAGACTTATTTTTCTGACAGCTCTCGCTTTGTTGCCGTATGTCACCATTGCTAGCAACCTACATGGAGGACAGAAACAGATAAATACTACAGTATGTAGTACGGTGCTCGATTCCTTTCATTAATATGGCTGTGTAGCCGAGACCGATCGAAACATTATGGAAAAGAACTCGTAAGTTATGTTTGCTCCCTTTCTGCTTTGAGCACAACAAATTCCGAATTTCTGACAACCCACATAACAAAAGCAGTTCCAAAAAGCTTAGTTTGACTTTTACAGTGTTAAAGCATTGGAAAAGAACAGCTTCTGTATGTAAGCCCTAAGAAACCTACAAAAATGCGAAGTAATTAGCAAAAGGAAAGCAGAGTGAGGCTGCTGGGCTCCAGCCTGGGGGAACCCGACAGTGCCACTGAGTCGATCAGAACCTAAGAATGTGAGAAGAGACCACGCTGTAGGAGATGGCGATCGGTGGTAAGGAAGACCAGACATCTAGAGGAATAACTGCAAAAAAAAAAGGGCAAGAAGGGTGTGAATGGGAGTGCAAGGTGCAGGAGAGCACTGCGAGTTCGGTTTAGCCACAGGCTCTTAGAGAGAAGACAAGTCTCGGCAAGTGAGACCTTTTTAGGAACTCTGCCTTTTCAGAATATGCTTTGTTGTAAGGACACAGGTATGCTGGTGGATTTATTTGCTTGTTAGTTTTTACTCACTCCTAGCTTGTTACCACTAAAATTTCCACACACAGCCCAAGGGAAACTGTCCTGAAAAGGAGAATGACTAGACATGTCCGACGGGTTTCTTTGATAACGCAGGGAGCAAGGCACTCCCGCACGGCTCCCACGGTTGGCCCTGGCTGATCTCTTCTCACCACACTTACTGCCCACAGGCCACGTCAGCGGCGTTGTGGTGACCGTCCCTGAGAAGACCGTGAATGTCACTACAGGTGGAAATGCAACCCTCCTCTGTACATACACAAGTTCAGGATCGCTGGGAAATTTCTTTATTCAGTGGAGCTTCTACAGTGCCAAAGAGAGCCAACTTCATACTGTAAGATATTTATTTATTTATTATTAATATCAAGTTATATTTAAGATATCCTTAAGTCCTCAAAGAATCTTGTTGTATTTGATGGTGTTATCCTCACTACAGACCAGGGGAGGCAGGTAATGTTGATGTTCCCACTCTAAAGACAAGGGACAGGGGTGCAATGAAATTTAGGGGCAGATGCACAAAGTTATCAAGGCTCCCAGTTCCTACTGGCATGCCCAAACTCCTTTGGAAGCTTAAGAGAAGGTACAAAAGGGATTCAGATGCTCAAGCGACTTGCTCCAAGTTGCACGGGAAGTGTGAAGTGGAGCAAAGACCAGGTGTCCGAAACTCACAGAAGTGCTCCAGCCCCTGGGCCAGCTCCCTTTTCTCTTGTCTGGCAGATATTTCCTGCCATTGTGAAGGCTGCTTTCCTGGTGAGACGCCCTTGCCTATGACAATGTGTCTCCCAATTAAGGGTCAAACAAGAGCTCCTTGACTCAGCCGCTATTGTTGCCATGGGGTGGCTCAGTAAGAGGAGCGGTGCACAACAATAGGCTATCAGCTCAAAGTAAGCAGTGAGTATTTTGGCAGGGCTCTGTAGAAATTTGTCATAGCAGGAAATCTGCCACAGCAAACTTGTGTTAGTATTTTGCGGCATCCCACGGGTGTCTTTGTGGTAGCAGAACAATTACAGATCAAAGGCAAATGCTCCTTGCCCTTCCTGAGATCCCGAGAGGCAGCAGAGCCAAATAGTATCTCCCTGCTGGGGTGTAACAAGACTGCGTGGTAGGTTGGAGTATCAGCACAGAGACAGCACAAGGTGAAGGACACCAAGTACTAGACAGCTACGTGCAGCAACCACTGCCTGAACCTCACATGTGGCTGTAAAGTCACGGAATCGTAGAATCATAGAACAGTTTGGATTGGAAGGGACCTTAAAGATCATCTAGTTCCAGCCCCCCTGCCATGCCCTATTTGTTGCTGAAAGAGGTGCAAGCAACCTTGAGTTGTCTCTGGATGAGAAGACACCCATGGGCACTAGCAGCCTGGAGCCTGCACAGAAGCTGAAGCAGCAGTTGGTGCAAATGCAGCTCTTCTCTTTACAGAGCAGGTATTGTAGTAGCCACAAGTGCTGACACTTGCCAGAGACTCGCCACTGAGCTGGCCCTTCTCTAAGCACCACACAGTTCAGTGCAGCCTGGTCTGCCTGGAAGGAGCCAGGGATGGGATGCTGAAGTTCCTATACATACTCACACTACTGCCCAGACTTCGAAAGCTATCCATTAATCTTATTTTTTGGTGGGGAAATGAACCCATGAATCTCACTCCCAGTATAACATGCAGGGTACATGTTCCCACCAACTCAGTCCTGACAGGTGCTGAGCAATCAGCAACACCTTCCTTTACAAGAAGAAATGCTGATTAGAAGTGTTACTGCATCCTTGAAGATGACTGTGATTTTTGTTCCATGCCCTGGTGTCGGGCTTGTGCCTGTTAGATAATCAGTCCCTTTTCTCTCCTGTTGTTTTTATCCTGCTGCTAACATTTTTTTTTTCTATAAGTTCAATCTTCCTGCCTGGTGTTACACCTGAGAGTTGATGTAAAGAGATCTGAGTTAGAAGAGTGTCACAGTCCACACCGATGATATTATCGTGTTCACCAATTTCCCAGTAATATTATGTTAGGAGATTTGCCATTGCTGATAGAGTTATACCTTCTATTTGGTTTATCAATTAGAGCAGAATTAGACTGTCTATAATAGCAGAATGTAGAGTATGTAACATATTTGGCATTGAATGGCAAGAACCAGTATGCAAGAAATAGCAATTTAAGGTGAGACAGAACTGCTCACCCTCCTGCAGTGTATCGTAGCCACAGATAAAGGCTGTATCAGTGCTAAGTACAAACACCGGGCCCATCCCAAATTCTGACTCTAGCTGAATGTTAGACTGACACATGCACACCTTGCCTGACTAATTGTGTGAATAGTTGTTACTCATCATTTGCTTTTTCAAGTCAAAACTACTTTATTAAATGAAGAATTATTCACGAAAGGGTGGCAGCCGCAGGTTTCCTAAGTTGTATACAGTACAATGTATTATAATTTTGATCCAGTACGTTACATCAGAAATTTTCATCACTTGTTCAGGTGGGAAGTACAGCACTGAGATAAGATCAAGCCCATCTTCTCCAGATTTGGTTACAGTCTCTCTGTTCTACTTGCGTCAAATTTTCCATATTGCAAGACAATAACTGCAATACATTTTCTGGCCACAACCAAGAGAAATAAGCACATTGCAGTTACAAGTATTTTAGAGGGAGAATCCAGCAATTTCAAGAGATCCAGGCGGGGACAACCATTTGTGAACTATGACCAACGACGAGAAAACACCCCCTGAGGATTATAATCATAAAATACTGTGGGTGGTTCAGAATATAGTCAGCAAGAACTAACTGATGTGAGGCTACCACATGCCAGGGAAACCTCATGGATCAATCCCTTCAGCACTAGCTCCCGACTTCTGCAGCTCCTGCTGTGGGCAATGGGAAAGCCGTGCTGGTAAGGACTGTCAGAAACACTACTGGGAAAAATGGCATCTGGTTTTGTCCCATTCTGAAACTAATTTCACGGTAAATTCGCTTTCACACCACAACACACACGCATTTGTAATGGATGATTTGCATTTTCATTAAATAAAGTCGGTTCAATCTGGAAAGGCCATGGGTTAGTGACTAATCCCGTTCTCCTTGAACAGCAAGGCAAAATTCCCTTTTGCTGCAGCACCAGTTATCCTTGGCTCGCGTGCCCAGCGAGGCTGGGACAATACCCCTTGCTCCTCTGAGCCTGCTGATGTGCCTGGAGGGTGCGTGTGTGTGAGGAGCTGCAGCACTTTTTAAAATGCTTTTAGCAACCCATTTAGTCCTGTGTTGCTGGACCTTGTATCCCTTTACCACAGCGTGGCGATCCCTTACCGTTTTGAATCTATTCACAACAGAATTCATCATGTTCATGCAAACTCTGGGAAGAAAGGACTGTGACTGCTTGTGGGAAATACGGTTTAAGACATATCTGAACATGAAATCGGATTTTCAACCTCCCTCTGAACCCACGGCAATACGAAGTTGATGTTTCTATTTCAGGCTGGTGACTTTCCTGAGTTTCAGAAAGGACAGAGTGCCTGAAAGCACGCATGTTTTCCTCCTACAAGTTTAAATAAAAAATAATCTCTCTTTCTACAAACCTGGCTTTGCCCCGGTTGCTTGGCACGTAGCTGGAGTTAAGTTTCACATTTTGTTCCAAGTAGGAAATACATGCATGGCAATGGAGGAGATTGCCAGCTTTGGCTTTCATTGTTTAGATTAAAGAATACTAAAATACAAGTCAAAAATATATTTAATATGCTGGTAAGATGACAAAACCAACTGAATTGAACAGACTGGCACCATACCTTACTGAATACCAGAACAGTAGCTTAGATTTTAAGTGAGATAAAATTATTTAATTTTATGAGATATTTAGATTCGTCTAAAATGCCAACAATAAACAAACAAACAAACAAATACACACTTTCTTATAAATAGCATATATTTTCCCTGAAAAAGTTTGTGGAAAATTCTGGCTCCATTCCAAATTTCCCATTTTTTTCAGCAACTAAACGGATAACATTTTCAAATTCCAGTTTTTAAAGCTGAAAATTTCTGCCAAATATTTTGAAGACAGGAGACTTCCTGTTAAAAAAAAAAAAATTGCAGAAAATACATCTTCTTATCCCACCTGCTCCAATGTAAAATATTCCTGACATCTTACTAAATGCTAGATGTCTTGATGACCATGTTATTCATATGGGTAGTGAGATTCAGCAGAGAGGATGTTCTCCGTAACAAATATGGAGGAGGGAATATTGATTTTAATAAATAATGTGTATTTACATAATTGAGAATATGGCTCTTTGTCCCTACAGTGGCAGCAAATAATAGAGCAAACTGTAGAACGTTAGAATTAATTAAGGCAAATGTACATCATTAAGATGCCTTTGGCTTGAAGCATTAATCATAGAATCATAGAATGGCATGGGCTGGAATGAACGTGAGCTTTAAATCACTAGATTTTAGGACAATATATAACAAGTACAGAGGCCATAGGTACCCTTTTTAAAAAGAATGTCAGTATTTTACACCAGCACTTAACGTTATAGATTTTGCACTGCTTTGAGATACGTACGCTCAGGTACAGCCCTGTCTGGAGTGAAATCAATAGGATCAGGATCAGGACTAGCACCAGTGTTAATGCCCCAGAATATGCAGCAATGGATTTTACCTTGCTTCAAGGTGAGGCAGTGCTGTTCACCAGTTCACAGCCCTGATGCAGATCCGTCTCCCAGCACTGGCTTTGTGAAGCTGGCTGGTGTCTTTTGCTGTTTGTTCTGGTGTTTCCATATCCTGCTCTGCGTTGCCCACCTTACACAATGCTGGTGCAGGTGCTCGACAGTTAAAAGTCATGGCAGTTACACCGGCGAGGATGAAATACCGCAGACAGGCTGTTCACAGACCGTGGGATGAGAAGGGAGGCAGCGAACAGCCGAACGGCAGGTGTTGGCAGCGCTGCTTTGAAGACACTGCAGCTATATATAGTGGGCAAATACAGATCTTTTTACTAATTGGAGCCTAAATCTGCTCTTTTCCTGAGAAGTTTCTCCAGTGGAAGTTATTCCCCTCATTTGAACTAAATGATGTAAATATCAACTCAAGGAAAATAGGATGCCATACGTATTTTTAACTTTTTCTTCTTGCCATTTACTCCTTAGCAACATATCTTTTTAATGACGAATTCATTTAAATAATAACTCCCAGCCAAGGTTCTTGAGAACTTTCCAATCCTGAACTATCCTCTATTTTACATATGGAAGAACTAAGGGAAATGCTGCGTATTCAGCTGACCCCATGTACCCGAGTACGCCGCAGCCTGCCCTGGGTCATAAGGAAAAGCCTCAGCTCCTGCTGGGATCTACATCCGTGCT